CAAGACAAGCCCAGAGGCAATAGGGTTTGTCCCCTCCCAAACTCCCCGTCCAACACAAGCCCTCCACCTCTCTCCACGATTGCGTCCCTCCAGCGGGCAACCCCAGGCAGTGCAGGACTGGACCTCTGTGCGCCACTGACACAGTACTAGACTCTGTACAAGGACCTCAAATAATATCTACTGGGACTCTGGGACCCCCTTCGTCTCATATGTGTGCCCTTATTCTTGGAAGAGCCTCTGCTACCTTACAAGGTGTCCAAGTTTTTCCTGGTATTATTGATAATGATTATACAGGAGAAATAAAAATTTTGGCCACGGCCATTAATGGGATTGCAGTTATTCCAGCTGGAACTTGGCTTGCACAATTGGTACTGCTCCCATTAAATTCAGGGGGTTCTTCCACTGCTCAGCCCACACCACGAGGAACTGCTTCTTTGGGGTCTCCTGATGCATATTGGGTTCAGCCTATCACTCAAAAAGGACCCACCTTCACCCTGCGAATTGAAGGAAAGGAGTTTCAGGGAATTTTGGATACTGGTGCGGATGCCACAGTTATTTCCCAAAAATATTGGCCGCCAAGATGGCCCCTTACTTCGTCCCTAACTGACCTTAAAGGCATAGGGCAGTCAAAAAACCCTTTGGTCAGCTCCAGGGTTCTTACTTGGACTGACAAAGAGGGTAATAGGGGAACTGTTGCTCCTTTTGTTGTTCCTGACCTGCCTGTTAACCTATGGGGCTGGGATATCTTGACCCAGATGGAAGTTATTCTTGCTAGTCTCAATTCTGTGGTTACACATCAAATGCTCCTTATGGATTTTGTCCCTGGTATGGGTCTTGGAAAATCAGGACAAGGAACCGTTGAGCCCATCCAAGCTACCCAAAAAACAGATAAACACGGGCTTGGGTATTCGGATTTTTAGTATCGGCCCCTGTCCCTGCTGTGCCTCATGCAGATAAAATCATTTGGGAAACCCAAACCCCTGTGTGGGTGGATCAGTGGCCCTTTACCCAAGAAAAATTGGAGGCTGCCTCCATGTTAGTACAGGAGCAGTTGGTGGCAGGCCATGTAGAGCCCTCTACTTCACCATGGAATACTCCTATTTTTGTTATAAAGAAAAAATCAGGCAAATGGCGCCTTTTACAAGATCTACGCGCTGTTAATAAAGCTATGCGCCCAATGGGAGCGCTACAGCCAGGCATTCCCACACCGGTGGCTATTCCCAGGGAGTATTACAAAATGGTTATTGATTTAAAAGATTTTTTTTCCATTCCCCTACATCCTGAGGACAGACCCTATTTTGCCTTTAGCCTTCCTCGCATTAACTTTCAAGGCCCCATGCAAAGATTTCAATGGAAGGTATGGCTAATAGCCCTAGCCTTTGTCAAAAATATGTTGCCCAGGCAGTGGACCCTGTGAGAAAATGATGGCAGAGCGTCTATGGATGACTTGTTGATTGCTGCACCTGACACCCACGAACTTAGAAACTGCTATTTAGACCTTTATAAAGCCCTTACTGCCCTGGGAGTACAGGTTGCCCCCGATAAAGTTCAAACACAGGACCCCTATACTTATTTGGTTCTAGAACTCCAAAATAATCAAATTTGGATTCCTCAAATTCAACTTCGTTAGACCACCTTCACACCCTTAATGATTTTCAAAAGTTGCTTGGAGATATTCAATGGCTTAGGCCATACCTAAGGTTGCCCATCAGCGTGCTTTTGCCTCTTAATGAGATTTTAAAGGGGATTCTGACCTCTCCTCTCCTCACAAGCTTACTCTCAATGCACAAAATGCCTTAACCCAAGTTACTGAGGCCATCACCCAGCAGCTTGTTACACAGATTTCCTATAATCTTCCTCTGTTCTTAATTATTTTACATACCCTCATACACCCACAGGATTGTTTTGGCAATGGATTCCCCACTCCAATAATAAGGGCAGCCCCCTGCTTTGGGTCCATTTACCCACCACATCCCCCAAGGTTATCGCTGTTTATCCTGCCCAAATAGCTTCTATCATTATCAAAGGTTGCTTGCTTTCTCGACAATATTTCGGCAAGGACCCTGATACCATTTTAACTCCATACACCAAAGACCAGACTCAATTTTTACTTCAGACTGGGGATGAATGGGGCATTGCCCCGTCAGGATTTTTAGGACTAATTGACAATCATCTCCCCAATGATCCCCTTTTACACTTCGCCCAGCTACATCCATTTGTTTTTCCCAAGGTTACTCAAAAGGCTCCCATTCCTCAAGCCCTCACTGTCTTTACAGTTGGCTCAAGCAATGGCCATGTGGCCTTTGTTGTTAACAACCATTCCACCACCTTTGATGCCCCTTACTAATCAGCCCAGCTTGTGGAGTTATTTGCTATAACACAGGTTTTTATGACGTTTTTTGATAAGCCTATTAATATTTATACAGATAGTGCTTACATCGCTCATTCTGTTCCCTTGCTAGAAATTTCACACACTATTAAAGCTTCCTCCAATGCGGCATTTTTATTTACTCAGCTTCAACAGCTAATTCAGGCCAGGAGACATCTGTTTTTTTCTGGGACACATTAGGGCACATTCTGATCTCCCTGACCCTCTTACACAGGGTAACGCTCAAGCTGATGTGGCCACTAGTTCCATTTTTCCAGTTTTTGTTGGGTCTGTCCAAAAGGCTACAGAATTACATAATCTCCACCATCTAAATTCCCAGAGTCTTCGACTGCTTTGTAAAATTACTAGACAACAAGCACGGGAGATAGTAAAGGCATGCCCTGCCTGTGTTGTCTCCCTTCCTGTACAACACCTGGGTGTTAACCCCCGTGGACTGCTACCTAATCAAATCTGGCAAATGGATGTTACCCATTTTCCTGAATTTGGAAAAACAAGATATATACATGTCTCCATAGACACATTTAGCGGGTTCATTGTTGCTTCACTACACTCAGGAGAAACTGCCAAGGATGTTCTCTCTCACCTTGTTTTAGCCTTTTCTGTAATGGGAAAACCAGCCCACATAAAGACAGACAACGGCCCTGCCTATACCAGTGCCAAGTGGAAACAGTTTTGTGCTATTTTTCAGGTTTGTCATACTACTGGGATTCCCTATAACCCCCAAGGTCAGGGCATTGTAGAATGAGCCCACCACACCCTAAAAACCTGGCTTACTTGCCCCAAAGCCTCTGCCTTTTCATTTTCCACTCCTAGGGATCTCCTTAGTCACACATTGTTTGCCCTTAATTTTCTAACTCTGGACAATGAAGGCCACTCGGCAGCTGACAGGCATTGGCACCCATCTTCCAGTTCTGCTCGCCCGTCTGTCATGTGGCGAGACACCCTTACAGGCAAATGGAAGGGCCCAGATCCTGTTCTTATCTGGGGGCGAGGTTCAGCCTGTATTTTAGATCAAGAACAAGCGGCCCTAAGAGGCTGCCAGAATGCTTGATAAAACAGGTGAATGGCTTACCATAACCCAGGGGAAACCTTCCCCCTGAGGATGATGATTTTTCTCTTACAGATGCAGCTGGAACTCCAGATGTGGACCCTCCTGTTTGAAGTGTTTCTTTTAAAGGGGTTTTGTATACAGTGGCCTTGGCCCTCCAGCTACAAAAAATCTCATGACCACTCTTTTTGGTGTCCCCTGCGAATGCAAAGGGGGATTTATTCAGCCCCCGGTAGCTGGAGCCAAATGGCTGACTGTGGAAACAAAGTGGCTTACCTTAAAGCAACAGTACAGACCAACATCAGAGGATTGCTTTAAATAAGCTTGTAACTTTTATTAAACAACAGATTGATCTCTTGGCTTCTAAGCCCATACAGGTTCATCACCATCACCTTGATATGGCAGACCAAGGCATTAAGATCTAGGATTTACCCCAGGCTTTTAATTAGTGTTTTGCCATGAGCTTGTTCCAGTGGGAAATCCCCCCCTTTCTTTTTTCTTATTTAGAAAACCCTTCTCCTTATTCATAACTCCTGACCATTCAATGGGGAAGACCTATTGCCAGAAGGGATAGGTTTGCCCCTCCTCCTATAGGCCCCTCCGCTTGGGGGAGGATGCACCTATGGGAGGAAGAAAAACATGCTTTTATCAAGGGTGCATGTAAGACTGCAGGGGGATGGATCCATGAGATCCCAAAACCCAAGACCCCTGAGTGGCAAGCGCTGGTGCATGATGGTTGGCATGCATACCCACAAGCCATCTCCTCAAAAAACATGCCAAGGCCTGTAAAATTCTCCTCCCCGAGTGAGGACGCTTGCTCAGGAGCAGAGAAAAACCGTGGGCCCTTAGAAGAACAGAGCCTCTGTCACCCCCTTAAAAAGAGCAGCCAACAATTGATGGTCACTTTTCTAAATAAGAAAGGGGGAGATGTTGGGAGCCAAAAGTTGAGTATCTCAACATAATAGGCTTGACTATCTCACTGGAACATCTGAAGGCTGAGTTTACAGAATCCTACCCTCATCCTGCCCTAAGTAAACATCCTGCAACTGCTAACCACCACCCTTTCCCCCTGCCCTAAGCAAACATCCTGCACTGCTACGGCCAATGAAAAAGCTTCCTTAATGGCCAATGTAAAAGCTTCCTTTTTCCAAGCATATAAATACCCCTGTGTGAAAAATAAAAATTTGCAACTTGATCAGAACCCCTGTCTTGCTGTCATTCTTTGTGTCTCTTGTCCCTTCATTCCTTCTCACTTAGGTTCACTGCCCTCGTTGCCATCCTGCCGATCGGGCCATGTAAAGATAAAAGTTGAATGAGCATACCACGAATGGAGAAGGGGGATATTTTCACAGGACCAGTATTTTTCCCCATCCCATCTCCATTTGATGTCAATCAAAATATACAATTGTCATTTAGTTTAAAAGAAAAGAAAAAGGAAAAAGGAAAGCAATATGCTTGTGCACATACACCAGTTACTTTATGTACAATAAAGGAATGGGGAAGGGGAAAAGGAAAGAATAGAGAAAACTATACTGTAGTAGTCACAATGTGGTGGAACCAAATTGCAGTTTTCTAATTAAGAATGCATTCTTGGTCTATAAGAACAAAGTTCTGGAGCAAAGTAGCAGGTTCCCTCCTGTCTGCTGCTGGAGCACATTAATTGTATCTTCATCCTTCATTTCCACCTGTGCAGGTGTGTCTGTGTCATCGATTGGCTGCCCATCAAATCAGAATCTGATCTGCCACATTGACAAACCCTGTGGTTCACAATAGGCTTCCGTTAGTTTACTAAATGGTGTGTGCCTCTTCATCTTAAACTGCACCACAGAACCATCCTGCCCCGCCACCTTCAAAATAATATGATCGTTGTTCTCAGTCTTGACTCCTTCCTTGGTCTTTTTGTCGGCCATCGCGAGCGCCGGAGTCTCCTCAGATGCCCCTTCACAAAAGAGGTCCCTGGTCCGCACCGAACAAGCACACAGGAAGCACCACAGAGGCTGGAGGAGGTGGCAGCAGTGGACACAGGATGATGCTTTAGTGCTAAGGAGTGTGGAGGGGAGGGTTGGGCCTTTATAGCCCAATGAGGGCCTGGCTTTGCATACAGATCATACCATGAAGAAGACCTGATGAGTGTGAGCTGGCTCTCCTTGTCAGAGGGCGTTCCTGTAGTCAGCAGCAGTCCAAGTGTCTGGTGGGTATGCCTTTGTTTTTGAAATGACTCTGGATAGAACTCTCCAGTGTCCCCCATAGGGTAGCTGTTTAAAGTGACCCTTTAGGGCACAGCCCTGAGATTTCCTCCCCAGAGTCTGGCAAGTCTGCTAGAAAAAGAGAGTTCTGGTTTCAAACTCACAAGTCTCAAGTCCATGGAGCTGTGTGATATTTCTTGCAGACCTCAGTCCTCAGTTCCTGACTGCTCACCTGCTCTGGCAGGAGCTGAAGGGCTCCTCTATTGTCACCAATACCTATCAGAGCTGCTGCTGCTGAATGCCGAGGGGCCACTGGAAGCATACATTTCTGTCCACAAAACCCAGGGTTCCTGGAGGGAATTGAGTAGAAACTGTCTTAGGCTTTAAGGAGCCAGCTTCTCTGTGAGGTGGCCAAGTTATTGGTTAACAGTGCCTGAACCCAGGACGAGTGGAAGTTCTCTTAGGGCATGATAGGGCATGACAGGGTCTGGCCAGGGAATAGAGCAAGTGCCCTGAGGACCTGGTGGGGCCTCACAAAAGACAACCGGAAGTGTCCTAAGCCTACATTGGGCCCTAACCAAATGAGACCGGAAGTGTTCTGAGCACAACGTTGGGCCTGACTAGGGGTGACAGAGAGTGTTTGGCTAGCCATGGTCTGTGAACTTGTGTTAAATTTAGGGAGGGGGAAGAGTGAGGAAATGGCAAAGAGACAGCATGGCAATAGCTGTTTGGAGGACTGGGATCTCCAGGGCTGCAGGATGTTGTTCCTGGCTTGCATGAACTCTGGGCTGGATGCTCACTCCATGCCAGTCACACAGCCTCAAGTGATCTGGCTCCTGTCAGTTCTAGGAAGTTCCTGTTCATTGTGACTTCCAATTTAGCCTAGTCAGTTTCTATGTGTCCTTCAGCCCTCTCTGGTTTTAATTCAATTCCATCCTCTCCAACACCATCTTCTCCTAATACTTTGTATAGATCTTCATAGCTTTCAGACAGATTATGAACATATGTTCATGGTGACAGCATATCAATGCTTGTCCCTTCCCCCTAGCTATGTAAGCTGCTCACCAGATTCCTACCGACTGGCTTGGCACACAGGAGCCATGCTCTGAATGAAGCAAAGAGTAAAAGAAGTGAGTGCAGTGCTGGAGGAGTGAAGAGAACCAGGGAGTCTCTTAGATCACACAGTTTCCCTGACAATAAATCATTCTGCCATATTTGGTTCTCTCAGCATTGTTCTGGTTTGGTTGTTTTTTTTTATTTTTATTTTATTTTATTTGTAAACATACTGTACAGAAGGGTTACAATTACATGGGCAGGATAATGTGGACATTTCTTACCAAGCATTGCAGCCTCCTCCTTTGTTTACCCTTCATATCCCTTCCCAGCCTCCCCCCTCCCACCCCAGTCCCAATCCTCCCCCCGCCCCCGCACCGAACCAATGTTGTAAAGCTCGTTTTGGACATGACCACTTGTACTTCTCATTGTTGCAACAGGTCCACCTGTATCCTTAAACGACTTGTTTTTCCCCATCTCCTCCACAAGTTATACTGACATCAAATACAGTGAAAGCAGGGGTTATACTGTGGGGGAGGGACATACAAAGCTACAAAGAAATAATCTAATAAATGAGTTAGAGACACATGCATG